GGGAGTGGAGACGTAGATAGTTAATAACACCTACTCTCAACTCTTGGGTTATTCTTGTCTAACAGAATAGTGGGAGTGGAGACGTAGATAGTTAATAACACCTACTCTCAACTCTTGGGTTATTCTTGTCTAACAGAATAGTGGGAGTGGAGACGTAGATAGTAATAACAATAACACCTACTCTCAACTCTTGGGTTATTCTTGTCTAACAGAATAGTGGGAGTGGAGACGTAGATAGTTAATAACAATAACACCTACTCTCAACTCTTGGGTTATTCTTGTCTAACAGAATAGTGGGAGTGGAGACGTAGATAGTTAATAACACCTACTCTCAACTCTTGGGTTATTCTTGTCTAACAGAATAGTGGGAGTGGAGACGTAGATAGTTAATAACACCTACTCTCAACTCTTGGGTTATTCTTGTCTAACAGAATAGTGGGAGTGGAGACGTAGATAGTTAATAACAATAACACCTACTCTCAACTCTTGGGTTATTCTTGTCTAACAGAATAGTGGGAGTGGAGACGTAGATAGTTAATAACAATAACACCTACTCTCAACTCTTGGGTTATTCTTGTCTAACAGAATAGTGGGAGTGGAGACGTAGATAGTTAATAACACCTACTCTCAACTCTTGGATTATTCTTGTCTAACAGAATAGTGGGAGTTGATCATATCTCTTATAGCGCACTCGTGGCCCCAGAGTGTGGAGTGAGATATCTTTGGATTCACAGTCCCGGCGTGCTACCTAGTGGGTCACACCCAGATCAACAATCGCAAGGAATTTCAGTAAAATGAGAGAACACCAAAATGTCATTAATTTGTATCTCTAACATCTTAAATATGTCAAAGAAACACACGCGATCAATGCAACATCTATAACAACGCGTCAGTATAATATACCTAGATCTCACGAACTCACATTATATCTTATTGGTTATTAATTGTTTTTTTAATCAGCTTCTCATACTAATAATTTAGATCAACTTCTGTATATAGGGAGCTATCAGCATAGCACAGATTTACCGACCTATGTAAAGAAAATAAACTTTGGGAAGAATGTGTGAGACTAGTAATTTACCTAATTTATAAAATATAAACAGAGAATCTAGGAAACTACTTACCACAAAATGACTAACAATTTTTCCGATGGTCTCTCTTCAGTAAGAAGGCAATTAAACTGTTAAATCATTTATACAGTCAGCTTCTCATTAACAGCTTAGAACAATTGTTAATTAATAGTTTTCCCTTTTGTTACACGGTGTCCAATACACAATGCTTAGATGACAACAAGTGTTTAACTCAAATTACACTACAAAACTCAATCATGTATTAATACTTCGAGAATGTCTCCGTAATCAACCAATCAAAAACTCACTATTTACGTCACCTACTTCACGAACACTGACGTCACAGGAAATGTCCACTATACTCCGCCTTTTACAGCGAAAGTCGTAATCAAGCGTGATGCAAGAACGTGCCTCAAGTGTCTGAACAGAAGTGCAGTTCCCGAAGTGTTATATGATAGTATTTTAGTCAGGTGTAACTCCATGCATTGTCGTTAATATTATATATGTATATGAGACTTGGTTCTTACGGGAGTTGTTACAGTTTTTCTTCCTGGTTGGTCGTATTAACCACATTATTTACCGTTCATATCACATATGTACATTATTGTGACTAAGATATAACTCTATTTACGTATTAAGTATATGTATATCATTGTAGCTAAGACACATCCTTCTCTACGTATTGGATATAATGCTTTATGTACCTTGTCAAAATTTCAATGTTTGATGTGTAATAAGAAAGTGCAGTAAGAAGTATATTTATGTGATTTACAGTGAAACTCCATATATTTTGCTTATATATGTAGTAACCTAGTCCTTAAGTGCTATAATGGATGTAGTAACTTAGTCCTTAAGTGCTATAATGATACGCATTCTCATATGATAAAACTTAATTCCACCCTTTCAATAAAAATGCTTTCAGTACGCGATTCTCTCCACGACATGGAAATTGTAACGTATAAATTAAACAAAATAAAATCCTTGAAATTAAAGCACATTGTCTTATGACAATCAATAAAGCTGAGAAACATTCAAGTAGTTATCTTACTTTTGTATTATCAGATAATTGTTTTCCATCCTTTGGTTCTCTCGGTATGATAGTAAGTTTCATTTTTTTGAGGTGGGTTGCTTGGCTATCTCAATAAGCAAGATAACCTTCCATAACTTTAATATGTGTGTAAGCTCTTATGATGTTACATAATAAATGAACACTCTTCCCACTATTCATTCAATGTTTTTTCTTGGAAACGACAAAATTAACGACTTTCACTGATACCAGGGTGGTAATACGTCGTTTATTTTCAATTACATAGAAAATAATCTTGCACTTTTGATGCTTATTTAACGCTCTTGTCTTTGTAAAACGTTATCTCAGTAACACTCGACAGAAATAATATATTTTTATGTAGTGCTCAAAGTGAATTTAAAAGTAGTAAACATGTGAATATTGCCAAAAAAAAAAAAGAGTCACGTATACTCATATTTGATTAATAGTATCTCGTCAAGTAGGACTGTAATTATATGTAAACAGAGCGCAAACAAGTGACCTTTTTTTCTTCTGACTTTGGGAACTTTGGTTTTTATTATTTATTGTAAGCGCCTGATAGTTAACAAGTTTATAGCTAGTTAATTAACAGCACTCACCGCAAAACCTTGGGATATTCTAATTGAATAATGGGATTTAACCGCTACTTTTATAACGCACCCGTGGTCGTAAAGAATGGAGAGAGATTTTTTATGACAGCAAGACACGAAGCATGAATCTCGCTCGCCAGTAACAGCACGGCACATTAAACGCTCAGTCACGCCTGATCCTTCGAGTATTAGTTCAAAGCTGTGGGGAAAACTTGCACAAGACCGACGAGAAATATTGCTTAGCTTGTGATTAATATCATGTCCTTGATTTTTAGCAACCAAAACCAAAACCATTCAGGAAACAAACTTTCTTATTGTTTTTCAAACTAATCGGGTATCGGGTATAGAGGGGATGATCCGAAGGTTTGTCTTAGGTTTTCAGCTAAGTTTGTAAAAATAAGTATCTATTGTCTTGAAAGTATAGCTGGTGGACAGGGAGACATTAAATTATTTTGTTGCGCAATGTACGTGAAAGCTGCAGTTACGAAGTTATAAAATTTCGGTTTATTTTTACGAAGTGAAAATTATTAAACTGCTTGAAAGGTTAAGGTGCCAAATTTTTACCAAATTCAGTTTACTAAATATCCTTGAAACCTCTACAGTAGCATGGTAATATATATATATCCTTAAAACCTTTACAGAAATATGATAATATAAATATCTTTAAAACTTTTACAAGTAGCATGGTAATATAAGTATTTTTAAAACCTTTACAGAAATATGGTAATATTTTGTTTATTTTTAAAAGTAATAAAAGGTAAATAACAACAACCATAGGACGAGAAAGAAAAAATCTTTAGAAATTAATTCAAATCACTGTCCCTTTGAGAGGTACGTTGTGCCACAGGGTTTTTACAATGCCTATTCACTGGACCAACTCTTATTACTTGATTGGACCAGTTGCCCCCTCCCACCCCACCCCCCTCGGTAGCTCAACAGTAAGAGTAGGGTTTGTAACGCTAAAAATCGGGTTACGATGTCAGCGGTGGGCAGAGCACAGATAGCCCATTGTCTAGCTCTATGTTTAACAACAAGCAAATTTGATCAGTTTACGTGGGTTAAAAACTTCACACAAAACAGCCTCAAACTATAAACGTGTAAAAATTCGCAAAATCAATAATCCAGAAAAAAGTATTTTTGAAAAGCATAATCATTATCAGGAACAGAGAGTAATTTCAGTAAAAAACATTCACCTTGTCGCAGTAAGCAAGGACGTCAGTAAAAATAACAATAAGATAATAATATATTAATGCATGTTAAACTTGTTTTGACAGATCAAAGCCACATTGGGTTATCTGCCGTGTCCACCGAGGAGAATCGAACGCCGGATTTTAACATTGTAAATCTGTAGACTTACCGCTCTCCCACTGGGAGACACATGTTAAGCTCTTACAGTATGGAAGAAAACACACAGTTATTTATATTGTATACATATGTTAAATCCTTCAGTAGTGTTATACTACACACCTTACTCTCTATAGTATATACTTGGTATCTACAAAATGTTTCAAAGTTATGACATAGAACATCCAAAACTGGTTGAGGTCGTGTGTTAAATTCAGATTAAGATGTTACTATTTTGTAGATTGAACTTCACTGTTTCATGGGATGACTGCATTGTGTTCTTCCTGACCTTGCAAAGTTTCTTCATTCCAGTGCTCATTTTCTGAATGATCAGCTACTGATACAATTTGCATTTGCGAATGCAGTTTTGCCACTTTTAAGAGAGTTTACTCCCCTCGCCTCTGAGGAAAGCAATTCGTTTCTCTAAGAAGATCTGTTTGTGATTAAGCACAAGCTACACAATGGGCTATCTGTGCTCTGCCCATCACGGGTATGAAAACCCGGTTTCTAGTGTATTGTAAGTCCGCAGACATACCGCTACATCACTGGGGGGGGGGGGCCTCTAAGAGGTTAAAGGTCTGCAATTAAAATCCTGTTTTTGTTTCGCTGCATCTTTTCTTCCTAAATTTGAATGCTCCAGTTTAATTTTTTTCAAATTTATTTAAATTTTATCTTCCGATCATTTCGTTCTGTCTATCACTTATAGTTTTGCTTCTTCTTTTTTTTGCGACACAATAAAAAGCTTAATTTTATTTTGACTTCAACACTGTATATTGTCTCTTTCGTTTCACCTGTAACGAATCGCTACACTTGTCCTTCTGCGTATCAAATTCACTAACCTTTCGTTTGTGAGGGTATCAAGTGACTGAAAGGTAGGTTTATCCTCGAAATTACCACAGATTTGGCTCATTATTTAGTGTTTTGTTATTAATCATGTGAAGCCAGGCCCCCAAAAAAGTTGGAATTTCTTTGAACCAGCCTTTAGTTTTGGAATTTAATCCATATTTTTTACAGTTAAATGTTTTTAGTTTTTACACTGACATCCTTGTACACTCAAACGTTATAATTTTAAACTAATATATTTGAAACATACAGGAGCATTGCCATTTATTAAGAACAGTTATATTCTTATTTTGTGTACACGTTTTTATTGTTTTCAAACACTAAAGTGAAATGGGAAGATTCATCTGGAAACATTTCCCTGATCTTGTTTCTTGTAAGAACAGTTCGGACCTTGTTTTTTTTTTTTTAATTTCGCGCAAAGCTACACGAAAGCTATCTGCGCTAGCCGTCCCTAATTTAGCAGTGTAAGACTAGAGGGAAGGCAGCTAGTCATCACCACCCACCGCCAACTATTGGGCTACTCTTTTACCAACGAATAGTGGGATTGACCGTCACATTATAACGCCCCCACGGCTGAAAGGGCAAGCATGTTCGATTGCGAGTCGAGCGCCTTAACCACCTGGCCATGCCGGGCTCAGTTCAGACCTTTGAATGAGTAAGAGAAGTCAGTGAGTTTCGTAGACTTTAGCAGAAAGTGGAACGTTTGTTTTTGTTTTTAGTTTGGTATCCGATGTATTTTCAAAACTGTATTTATTTTGCAATTACTTTATAAAAAAGCTTACATTTTCTTCCTATATCTGAATGTAAGTCTTTTCTTAACCGATTTCAAAGTTAGCTGTTTTCCAAACACCATTTGATGTGGGATAAATGATTTTGCGTAAGTACTCTGGAGAGGTTTAGAAGAAAGATTTAAATTAATTGTTACTGAGTGGTCTTATATATATATATATAATAACCAAACGTCTGCCACGCTTTGTATCTTCTGAATGGTTAATCATGTGGTACTTTCAAAGGTACATTACAAAAAAACTATTCATTGTTTGTAATTCCTAAAATTTCATATCGATATAAACATCAATCCATCAGACTTCGTATGTGTTGTATATATTAAACGGTCAGTCTGAGAAAAAAACTGAAGAACAAAAATGTTTCTTTTGGTGATGAAACTTCACGAGAAAAAAAAACGGGTTGTCTGATTGAAAGAAATATTTTGAAGATAGGAGCATGAAAAGAAAACATGCATAAAGAAAAGAATGTGTTTGAGTATATATATTTGTTGTTGTTCGGTTTATGTATATATATTCATGTCGGTATGATATACGTGCATTATTTTATTGTACCATGTCGCATAAATTGACTTCAATTGAATTCAGTATCTCCCCTCTGACACTTGTTATAGAAATGACAAG